GAAATCTTGCTTTGAAGGCTGGCAAAATATAGGTTGTATATAGAGAGGAAGTATATTGGCTAGCCATGTTCCCGGTATGCAATGGGGTGCCCTGAACACCTTTGAGCATTGATGATTGCCCTGCAGCAAGGAGAAGTTCCTCTCTTTCTGGTCAAAGGACAGGGGCCCGGAGAAATTCAAATAATTCCATTTAAATGAGTTCTTGGTCAGAAGAGCTTTTTGCATTTAAAGGCAGTCATTTTTGAAGCAGTCCTTTCAGAATTCCAATTAGAGATTTAAAACAGACCCGAACATAAATGGGAAAGCTTTTCAACTGAGGTGTAAAACCACACTGGGGTTACTAACTTAATGCTGTTTGAGCCATCAAATAAATGTTCCATCGTGCTTAGTTCATAACACATTTCAAGTTATATCTGGGTTAGTTTGGGTTAATAGCCCCTTTAATTATTCCAACGAAGCTTACTTGCTTACCGAGCTATATTCTCATTCCATTTAGCCTATTTTACTACTGTATATTTTTTTATGGGCTCCCTAAAATCGGTGCTAAGGGAGTGAGCTCTGTGACTCTGAATTCATGTACTTGTTCCACAAAGATGTCTGAGTACCCACTGATTTCCAGAGCTAAGCTCTGGAGACAATATCTGAACAAGACAGTTTCCACCTTACAAGGGACTTTGACCCAGTTAGGGGTGAACAGGTGACTAGGATATAGTGTAGCCTGTTTAAGGCAGGCTTCCAGGAGCTGAAGCTGAAGTTGTGCTGAAGCTGAGGCACAAGGGAAAGTCAGCATGAGCCAGGCAGAGGAGAGGTGGGCCACCCCAGCAGCGGAGACAGCCTGAGCAACGCCCTGGAGGCAGTGGTCAGGCAGCATTAGCATCCGCATGCACTGGCCTCCACTGGGTTGTTCATCTTTACCTTGTGGCCTCCTGAGCCTCCAGGATCCCATGTTCCTCTTCACCTTTAGCTCAGGTAACTGAGGCTTACCTGTGCAGTATACCTTTGTCGTTCTCAGGTTTAAGTTTCAAATGGGAAGTCTTTAAAAGAGTAAAAAAAAAAAAAGTTCATGTACTTTTTATGTTGCTGAGGATATATGAAATAAAATGTACAGCCAATAAAAATGTCATTCAAAAGAAACATTTCACTATGTCAATTTACTTGAATACTGGATTTATGGAAACATTTAGGGCTTGAAAGATCTCATTTTTCACTTGTACTTCAGTGCAGTTGATATTAGAATAAACTTCACTAGGGCAAGAACCCTTGTCTGTTTTGCTTCTTGGATATTTCCCAAGTGCCTGGCACACAGTAGGCATTCAGTAAATACTTGTTGAAAGATACAGTAACTTTTATGGAGAAATGACATTCTATGTAGGTTTCCCACATCCTGGACTCTGGACTATCAAAGGTCCATGTGCTCCAAAGAAGGCGGTCGTAGGGTTCCCTCAGAGTAGGTAGCAATGGTTCTAACATTGCAAACAAACCAAGAACGACATTGTTAAAAGGAGGGGCCTGTGGGCCTATAGAAAACCTTTTTTTTTTTTTTTTTTTTTTTGGTTAATGTTGTCTATATATGGCAGATGGACATGATTCTTAGTTTACAGTCCCAGGAGTTCTGTAAACCCACTTTCTAGTCAAAGCTCTATCTTGCAGCACTGGGGGAATTTGCCCTCAATTATTAAGGACACACACAGCTGGGCCTTCTGAGGGTCAGACTGGCTATCACTGAGAAATCATTTATTCCAAGGCTTGGTCCCTCCCAACCCACTGCTCATGGTTGGGGCATGAGAGCCCTTGTACCAAAAGCCCAGCATCCCTGGTCACCCCACACAGCCATTCTCTCTGAGGTCCTGACGTCCCCAGAAAGGGACCAGGCCCGGAGCGGGTATGCCTTGGGCTGGCCTGTGATGTGTAGGTTCTTGACTGTGTGCAGGAAAGATTTACAACACAAGTCCAGGTGATTTGGAGAGTACCTTTATTAAAGTGGGGGTGGGGGGGGGACGGGAAACAAAGGAAGGGCCTGAGATAGAAGAAGCAACACGAGAGAGCCTAGGTGGGGCTGCTTTGGCTCTCTAGAAACGTCAGAGAAGAGGGCCTGGAAGACAGGTTCAGGGGGTTAGTCCGGGACAAGCGACCACTGCCTATTGCTCCCCAGGTTGCAAGTCTCATGGGGACCCTTAGAGTTTAGGAGAAAGAAAAGGTGTGGGCATGCTCCAGAGAAAGCCCACACTGGCATCCTTTGTTTTAAGGGCTTTTATCTTTCTTTTTTGGTCAGGAACCCTAGGGGGAGTCTCAGGGCAGAGTTTTAGCAGATTATTCATCAGTTTTCCAGGTGTGTTTTTAAATAATATGTTGATGTACCAAAATGAGTGCATAGAGGGACCAGGGTCATTTTCTGGTCAGCTTTGCCTGTATCTTGAATTTGTTTGGTTCTAATTTTTTTGTTGTTTATTATTTTTCCCCTGTCTTTATCAGTCCATGGGTTTGGCTGCCACGAATGGCACTAATTAGGTCTCTGTTATCTATGTCCCTGACTGGGTGATTTAAGCTATTTACGCTCTGATTAGGGAGGAGAAGTGCAAATTATTTGCTCTCAAGTGTTCTTGGTTTAGGGAAGATAAGATCTTGTGATTTACTAACTGGCTGTCAATTGTTTGACTTGTTTGGCCCCATTTGTCTAACCATCTGTCTCAGTTTCCCTTTTCTGACTTGTCAAGATTATCTATGTCCCTGACTGGGTGATTTAAGCTATTTACGCTCTGATTAGGGAGGAGAAGTGCAAATTATTTGCTCTCAAGTGTTCTTGGTTTAGGGAAGATAAGATCTTGTGATTTACTAACTGGCTGTCAATTGTTTGACTTGTTTGGCCCCATTTGTCTAACCATCTGTCTCAGTTTCCCCTTTCTGACTTGTCAAAGGTTCTCCTAGCATCTAACCTGATGATACCATCAGGTCACAGGGCATGAGGCCCACCTAGTCACGGGGTTGCCACCCTTTTCTCTTTCCAGTCTCTGGGATGCCCTTGAGCTCTGCTAGCCCACAGTCAGTCCTCTGGCCTGGCCTCCCTCCCGGACCCACTGTATCCTCACTGCAATGAACTCAGCTGCCTCTGCTTTCTATCTGGCAAAAAAAAAAAAAACAACAACACACACACACCCAAAAATCCCCAAAAAACCGCTAGGCAAAGAAACGCAGTCTGGCTACAGGCATGCAACTAGTGGTGGGACAGAGAGAACAGGAGAAAAACAAATCGTCTCAATAAATTATTCTGCCCCACGCAGGACCGCAGCGGCCATTTCAATCGTCATCATTCGAAAGCTAATTAAGAAAATAACCCTAAGAGAAGGCCAAGGACTGGGGGGCCAAACGCTAGACTTTGGCAACATTTGATCACACTTCCTGACAGTGAATAGAAAGGCAGAAACCGTGGGCACGCCGCTCCTTGCTCGGAGCTCGCTCTGGCTGGAAGGCGGTGAGGCTCTGTTCTTGCCAGCGCACGTTTGAATCCTAACTGAACTCTCCCCGCTTCTGGGCAAATCTTTCTGGTGCGTGAACCCTTCAACCTCATGTCCCTCCGAGGCTTTCTTCCATCCTCACCCCCAGCCCCTAGGAAGCTTCTCAGACACTTCAAAAGTCAGTCACTCAGACACTGCCTCGGTGGTTGGAATATAAATGTTCAAGAGTCTCGACATCTTCTATGGGGATCTGTAAAGAAGGCTTCAAAGCAGCAGCTCTCCTGCTTTGAGAATTTCCCATAGAAGCCATAAATAAAAATAATTGCTCCGTGCTGTGTATCTCTGATCTCACCCAGGGACGGGTTTATTAAACAGGCCTGCAAGATGGCCAGGGATCATACCCACAGGCCTCGGCGAGCGCGCGTGCCGTCTCTGGGGTCATCTAACCTCTTCCAAACACTGCCACTCGAAAATCAGGCTTTATTTGTCAGGGGAGGAGGGTAGATCATAGTTAGCCTTTTATGAGCACCCAATCCGTTTTGGAAAAAAAGGAAAAACATGTATCTTTTCTGAAATTCAAAACTCAGAGTGTCTTACTTCTGGATATGGCATTTTCTCCTATTTTAAAGAGCATTTTTATTACCCATTGTGTATAGCATAGAAGATAATGTGGGAGTTAAGAGGAAAAGCTTAGAAGTGAGCTAGTGCCCACCCTTCCAGTTAAAGATAAGGAAACACAATGGAAGGATTTAAACTGTTTGTCCTACATCCACACGTAGGGGGAGGACTGAGGAAAAAAATGGAGCACGTGTTCTGAGTCTGATCCTCAGCGTCCTTACTAGGAAAATGGAATAAGAGTACCTACCTTAGAGATGGAGAGGATTACATGAAGGTACGCCTGGAGAAAACAAAGCCCGGTTACTAGCACTTCGTAAGAGGTAAATAAATGTTAGCGACTGGCACAGAACAGTGGCTCTCAATCCCACCTGCACGTCTGAATTATCTGCGATGTTTTTCAATAATACGCAAGCCCAGCTGCAGACATTCTGAGTCAATTGGTCTGGGGTGGGGTCCAGAGTAGGTGCCGGTGAAGGAATAGATGACTCTGATGAGCGGCCAAGGTTGAAATCTAATAGCCTAGGTGGTCCAGGGAGAAAGGCAGAGACCTTGTATCCTCAATACTGGCCAAATACCAGGCAGATGGTAAAGGAAGAGAGAGGGAGAGAGAGAGTAAAGGGAGGGGGGGGGGGGGGGGGGGGGGGGGGGGGCATGATTTAAAATACTATGGTAAGGTTTAAAAAAAAAATTTCAGCCCAGCTGGTGTGACTCAATGGGTTGAGTGTCGACCTATGAGCCAGGAAATCACAGTTCAATTCCTGGTCAGGGCACATGCCCAGGTTTTGGGCTCCATCCCCAGTAGGGGGCTTGCAGGAGGCAGACAATCGATGATTCTCATCATTGATGTTTCTACCCCCCTCTCCCTCTCCCTTCCTCTCTGAACTCAATAAAAAATATATTTAAAAAATATTTTTAATGACATCTTTTTTCCATAACAAGTGCGTGGTTGCTACATACAAAAGATAAATCACAATGGCCAACCTAACGGAAATGGAGCGATTAGAAAGGCTTAGTGACAGTCTTATTAAAACAAGGTTCGCATCTGTCTGTACGGCTGGGAAGCGTGCTGCACGGCTGAAAGACTGGAAAACACGCCCACATTAACAAGGGGGCAGCCATTTAATGCAGAAATCAGTTCACGGAAAGAGACCGCGGGTGGACAACAGATAGGACTTCAAACAATACTGCATAGTGTCACGGAATAGCTCTTACACAGCTGATCTGTTTTCCTTATGGATTTGATTCCAGTACAAAGACGGAGAAGAGACTTCAATTAAAAAATAAATAAGGCAACAGAAGAAGAATCCTCCTGTGACAAGGAACATCCACAGACATTTGGTGCTGACACAACGAGACACCATCAGGACAAGTTCTGAAGATGCTGTATGAAAATTTAACAAGCATGGTCCGAGGACAAGGAAATGATACTTGCTTTGTTACGAATCCCTTTGCAAATAGAAATGACTCTCAGGTAATTGTTATATACAAACTTTCTGCAATAAGTGGCAATCAGACACATTCTCCCACTGCCACCTCCTCTTTGTCTAAAACCTAGAAGTGTTCCATGGCACTGGCTCCCTATTCCTCACAGTCAAAGCATACGTAGTCATTAAAGCACTTGAACCCACAGTAGTCTTGTCCTTAGGAAGGTAGGGAGGTTTTGCATGACTTTATATCGGTCATCCAGAAACGGCTGGCAGGCAACAGGTTGGAATGTAAAAGACGGCTTTGTGCTTGGGATCCTGATGCGAACTCCACTCCGTTCCCCTCAGGAGTCGTCTGCACTGTGGACGGGCCACCGAGCAGTGAACTTGAGTGTGGACAGTCATACCGTGGAGTCCCTGCCAGACTTTAGCTGTGCAATCTTGGTCCGGCTAATAAATGGGTAAGCGATGCAGAGACCTCCAGCTGCCACAATGAAGCCTAAACTGCACCAGGCGCAAAAGATAGACCAGCTGTAGCCGTGTTCCACATCATCGGGCAGGCTGTAAATGAGCTTCGGGAGGCGCTGCAAGTCATAGGAGATGCTGGCAGCGTAAGTGCAGAGGGAAATGGTGCAAAATATTCCTATAAATAATACAAAGAGAACGAAGGATCAGTTACAGTGTTGCCGGCTACATGCAAGGCAAATGCCAGACTGGCCTTTGTGAAAATCAGACCAACCGATGAGGCGATCACTCCAAATTAAGAAAGGATCTATAATTTTTTTGACTTGAATTACTTCATTCAACAAAGATTGGCAAAACCTTTATGTGCCAGACTGTAGGCTAGGCATGGGAGATACAGGAATGAAGAACACAGGGGAGAATTCTAATAATTTGAATTATTCAGAATTACCTTGCTTGAATGGTATGTATATTTAAATTTATATTTGTTTCCTTTAAAAGTTAATAAAAATTGTAATTATTTTTAAAACTCTTCTATAACCACTCAAACCTAATGTAAACGTTTTCATTTCCCTTGTTCCATATCTAGGTTTGCCACATTTTTATATAGTTGCAATCATCCTACAAGCCTGCTTTCTCTTTGAATTACCACCAGCATTAGTGCTTGTCATGTTGACTGTAAATAAGATTTTAAATTAATTTTTACAAGTGCGAAATCATTTCTTAAGTTACAGAGCCTGGCACATACTGGGGCCTCAACAGATCATGTGGGGATTTTTTTTTTTGGTGTTTTTTTTTTTAATGAATGAATAAAAACTTTTAAACAATATAATTAAATCCAGGAAATTGGAAATGATGTAAAAATAGCTGAGTAAGCAAGTCATATACTTCAACCATTCCGAATATAGGCGATTTGGGTGATATAAATGGACAGACTTGAAATTTTACTTTTTTATACCAACACATGTATCACTGTCCTTCCACTAAAATCGGGACTCTGATAAAAATCCCCCAAACACAGGCTTTTTAGGAGCCTGTGATCAAGGGATGCTCCTATTCACCACAATGGACCCCCAAGGATGCTCCTTTGGGTGGGCAGCGGATCAGAATGAGACTGTTGCTGAGCTGAAGATGGGCAATAAAAACCAAATCTGGTCCCCTCTGACCTATGGGAATGCCACCTTAGTCCAAGTCTTACGCGGCTCTCCTTCATTCTTTGGTTTATCCTGTGTACAGTGGAGGTCACACCTATTTGCTGGGAAATTGTTTTGGTGACTTTAGGGATCTATGCAGCCTCTCCATAGGAAACAGAGACACAGATTTGGGAATAAGATAACGCCCCCTTTTAAACAGAGCTTTGGGGATCAGAAACACTACCAGAAAAATAAACCCAGAGCCGGCAGCAATAGGGAAGAAATAAAGATCACCTGAATGCAATTTTTTTAAGTGCTGCAATTCTGCCTCCACTCAAATCATGTAAGAGCACATCACCTGAATCCTTTTCCAAATGTTCATTTAGAAAAGAAATGTTTTCAATTAAAAGGATGCGTGATCTGAGATAATTTGATATTTTCTACCTGGCCTAATTCTGTTTTTAAACTCTAAAGTGATTGCTTTTCTACAAAGGATAAAATCTTGTCTTCCGAGTCCTTGCTCCGGAATATAAAGGCAAACATGTCACTTTGAGTTCTCCAAAGAAAGATCATCATAGAAATAATTCTTTCATAAAGGAATGAACCAGGCAAAAAAGAACACTCCTCTGCTCTTTTCAAATCTTGTGAAGAGCAAATGCTCTTACATCTACAAGAATGTTCTCCCTGGCACCAACACAAAGACAGTGTTTATATATAACAAGGTCCTTCTAACCAATTCTGGGAATAGAACAATAAGGCAGTTAGAAAAAATCTCATCTTCAACAGGTACAAGATAATAATAGAAAAATGACCTGTTCGCAGGAAAAGCAACTCCATTCTACATTTAACTGTCTGCACCCAGCTGAATGCTTACAACAAAGCTTTTTGCCCTGGCTGGGTGGCTCAGGTGACTGTTCAGGGCACATACCTAGGTTGTAGGTTTGATCCCTGGTCAGGGCTCATAAGGGAGGCAACCAATGGATGTCTCTCTCACATCTCTCTCTCTCTCTCTCTCTCTCTCTCTCTCTCTCTCTCTCTCCCTTCCTCTCACACACACACACAAAAAATCAATAAAAAATATATATCCTTGCATGAGGATTTTTAAAGTCTTTTTTACAAGTAACATGGTTTTAATGACCTCTGAAAGCTCGAGTCCAAACTTAGACTTTTAAGCATCCTTTGATGTCCAAATGCAATAGGCTGAGATGCAGGAAATGCATTTTCTGGTCCCCAAACCTGCTGCTAATCACTGTGCAACCTTGAAATTACCTAGCCTGGCTGAGCCTTCGTTTCTTCATCTAGGAAAAAAAGGAGGGGTTAGGGGAAGGGAGCTGGTTACTGAAGTCCCTTACAGTGTCAAATTTCTGTAATTCAGTTATTCCAAAATGTGGCGCAGTTCCCAAAACGTCCTAGCGAATCTAGTATCTGGTAATATGCACCTACATAAAAAATAGATTGTCATGGATTTTTCTTTCTGTATTTACTCCCTTTGATTTTGCACTAAAGGTTGATTTTTTTAGCGCCTCTCCCCTGCCAACTCCATAAAATTGTGTTTGGTGAAATGAAGTTTAGCATTAACACCTCCAGTTCACACTGAACAGAAAGGGATGATCAGAAACCATCTAACCTGCAGATTTAACGGAGGCTGGTTTTCTCTGCCCTCAGTGTCAGGAGTGGCTGTGCTCTCCCTGGCACTTGGTTTGTGCTTACTTCATGGACACGGTGAATGTGTCACTAATAAATTCTTGGACTGAGTTGCCAGAAAGCTGACACTCCCTAAAACTAAATCAGGGGCCCACCACAAGCCAAAGTTGGGGACTTTATGGCATGCTTTTTTGCTACTAAGCTCACCCTTGGATCCATCATGCCTTGCAAACCTGATTGCTCATCTTATTTTTATGACTTAGTTGTATTTATTTTATCATAAAATGTTATATGCATTTCTGTTCCATTTAAGTTCTTTGTGGAATAGAGCACTCCTCAAACCTTGATGAAAACCTGCTTTATTTTCTGAGGACTTTACTCACTCAGCTGACAGTGGTAGAAAGGGTTACCATGAGCCCACAAATATGCCTCCGTCTGCCCTTCCCCTTCCCACAAATGCCCCCACAGGCTGGTCTTTAGTGACATTTTTTAATCTTTCCAAGGTGTCCTTGAAGTTGTTCCTTCCCACAAATGCCCCCACAGGCTGGTCTTTAGTGACTTTTTTTTTTTATCTTTCCAAGGTGTCCTTGAAGTTGTTTTGAGTGAGAAGAAAGCCAAGATTAACAAAAGAGTGTATCTAAGAGTTCCTCCTTTTTAGAGGCTCACATCTCTAAGAAGTCCCCAAATATATCATTTGTGGGATGGGCAGGACTGTTTCTGAATATTACAAGGAAAGGTACTGAGACTAGACAAAGCATTGTTTCCAACGTTTCCAAAGCTTTTGTAAAAAGAGGCCTGACCCATTCTAGGTATTTTAAAAAGTAAAAATAAAACCATCTAACTTAAAAGACACCAAGAAAAAGTGTTGTTTAAATGATGAAAACAACTTTGTTGTACCTGGATTGTTAGTCCTAGGTCAGTTTTTATACTGTGGAATTCCATTTTGGTTCCATATCTATAATAATAAAAGCCTAATATGCTAATTAGAACGGACAGCCGAACGACCTTCCAGACATCCTTCCGGATGACCTTCTGGACGAAGCTGGGGCTGCGAGGGCTGAGCCCCTTGCATGAATTTCGTGCATCGGGCTCTAGTTTTAAATAATGCTGCCTTTTTGTCAGTAGCAATCTAGTTAGTGGGACAGGGGCATGAGAAGATAAGGACCATCTCTGTATTCAAAAGTTCCAAATCTAATGGTCCTTCCTAAAATCCATGAGGAGAGAAGTTGCCTCTCCTCCATTCTTCACGTAGGTTTGCCCTTCCCTTTTCCTTCTCCCCTGACCAGCTGGGAGTGACCTGTGGCTACCACGGATACCGTTCAGCCCAGCTGGTGGCGCCCAGGGAGAGAGTCCCAAGCTCAGTCCTGGCTATTGCCGAGAGCATCTTCAAAAGGGTGAATAATTACTGGTTCTGAAAAGCCCTGCATGCAGCCACTTTTCTTATAAAATATTAAAAGCGTTTCTGCCAATATTCTTAATTAGAAAATACCATGATATCACAAAATTATAGGGCTGGAAGGGATATTTTCGGGTCGAGACAGAGAAAATTTATGCGGCCATCCCAGATCATCAACCTAATTTCCTTCCCTAAAATTTTCAGGGTGCCTGTGGCCAGCTGGTAAGATGTAATTAGGGTAACTGGGCCCATTCTTTGGACCATCCTCCTTTGATGTGCTTAAAAGGCTGAAAGAAGTAGAAGTTACTTCACCCTGGTTAGCCTGCTTGATAAATAACATAACTGCAATGCCCAGAGGCATAAACATTGACTCCCCTGTCCTCCTCCCCACCCTTTCTTCAAAGAATGACCTGCGCATCATCCTGGTCTCTTTGCAATTTCGAAAAAAAAAAATGCCTCATGCTACTTTTCACACAGATTGAATAACTGGGCAGAAGTAATAGAGACAAAACTTTACAAAAAAACCCACAAAAGTAAATAAAAAATCCACAATCTGCAACTATTAAATCCCCCAAACACCCACTCTTTTCCTGAAAGATTGCAGCAATCTCATTTAAAGGCAAAGCCTGACCTGATGGGACATAAGGCTATTTATAGTCCACATCGATCCAGCTCAGGATATGTTTTGCTGCAGACATGTTAATGTATTTGATTACAGACCTTGCTGAAGGTGTTAGATAACATATGCACCATGTTACCTTTCTAAAGGGAGACTTTAACATCCGGAATTCCAGAAACTACCTGGCCCCAAGGGTTTCAGATAAGGCATTGAAAACTTATAGTTTTAAGTTATAATCAATGGATAACCTAGATAATTCAATACAGCCACTGTGGTCAAGTCTTTTTTTTTATTTGAATGAATTAGTCTTTTAAAATCATTATTATTATTATTATTATTTGAATACATTGAAGCAAAGCAATGAGTAGCCTAATTGGGGTTTTAATTGTTCCTGAGCTTTGCTGGGGCAGCCTGGGCTCTGTCTCCCCTTTATTTGCTGTCACTGTGGCCACTCAGGGCATAAAATGGACCCAGTGGGGCAATGAAACTCCCATCAAGGGAGGACCAGTACATTAGAAGATAATAAGGACCCAACAACAAGACACAAAAATTGTATTGAGCCTGGCCAGTGTTGCTCATTGGTTGAGCATCAACCCATGAACCAAGAGGTCACTGGTGATTCCCGGTCAGGACACATGAGGGGATTTGGGGCTTGATCCCCAGTAGGGGGTGTGCAGGAGGCACCCTATCGATGATGTTTCTCTCTATCCCTCTCCCTTCCTCTCTTTCTAAAAATCAATAAAAACGTATTTTTTAAAAATTGTATTTAAAAATGTTGGCATTGAAATGGAAACACTCATAGATACAGAGAACAGCCTGATGTTGCCAAAAGGGAGGAGGGTTGGGAAATGGGTGAAAAAGGTGAAGGTATTAAGAAGTACAAACTGGTAGTTACAAAATAGTCTTGGGGATATAAAGTACAACAGAGGAACTATAGTCACTAATATTGTAATAACTATGTATGGTGCCAGGTGGATACTGGACGTATTGGGGGAAACACTTTGTAAAGCATATGACTGTCTAAACACTATATCGTACACCTGAAGCCAATACAAAATAATCTGGAATATAACTGTAATTGAAAAATTAAGAAATGTTTGCATTGAACAAAAGAAGCCTTTAAAATATTTATAACAACTTATCCTCATAATAATGTGACTATGGCTACAGAATGGAAGGCATCCTTTAATGTTGAGGGAAATATTGCTTCCCAGCGCCCTGGAAGCAGTGTGTTCTAATGATGGGCATCGGTTCACAGCTGGAAGGCGAGTGTCTTATTCCCTCCGTCCTCGATGCCTCTGTGACCGAGTGTGTCGCCTCACAGAACATGAAGTCAAAGGGCTACATTTGAAGTCCTTGGGAGAGTGAGGCCTGGCCCTGGTCCTTCTGCAGTGCCCCCGGAGAGGCCCCAGGAAAGAGGAAGGGGGAGAACTGGCTCCCCGGGGAGCACTGACAGCCGGCAGCACTGCTGTTCCACTCGTGGGGAATCAAGGCCTGTCTGTATGCAATAGGCAGAAGGAGAAAGATCTCAAACTGTCACATCGCTGATGTTCCTCATTGAAGGCTTGGCTAATAAGTTCAGGTGGAAAATGAAGACGCCAGCACATTAGAAGGGGCTAAGTTTAGCATCAAAAATCTGTGGGGGTGATTCTGACAAGGGCTGCTGAAGACACTTCTGCTTAATTAAAATCAATTTTTTCTTTTAACCCTTAGGACTCTCCTGTCCTGCTGTGACTAATATATCTTCTGCAGTGGATTCACATAGTTATCTGGGTGTTTACAAAGATAACAAAGAGGCATTTGTAGTAGAAAAATAAAACAAACCTCCATGAATCCCACAGTAAAGAAACAGATGACTACAATACAGCATAGCCACTCCATGGAAGAACATGCAGCTATTAAACACTGAGTAGACGACAATGGAGTGACATGGGGAATGGTGAGGGTATGATGTTAAGTGGTAGCCCAGAGGACTAAATACTTTCCATGTGATGATGGTCACAAATGTCTCTCTCTCTCTCTCTCTCTCTCTCTCCCCCTCCCTCCCTCTCTCTAATGAGGCAAACTCATGAGCAAGAAAAATAATTAAACAATCTAATTTTTGAGGGGATGGGATCTATAAGTGAATTTTCCCTTTATTCCAAAAAATGTTGTTTGGGCAACCCAAAGCACAAGAAGGAAAACAGTGTTGTGTTGTGTCTCTTTGTCCTTCAGGAATGGCAATCAAACTTCAAGTTTCTACGTTTGTTGTTGTTGTTTTGGTTGTTATGGCTTTTTATTATTGTGGCTGTTGTTTTGTTTTTATTTAACAATTGCACAGGGGCTTTCCATAACAAAGCCGGAGGATTCCCTGAGCTAGTCTGGCCCCAAGTTACAGTCCACATGTGGATCAGAAATAAGAGCGGAGCAGGGACAGGGGGAGCCGGCTCAGGAAACTTGGCTCCTAGCTCTCCTCTGAGTCAACCCAATACTGAACTCCTACCTTTCTTTCATGTAATACCAAACCAGCCCCTCAGTCTCCCAAGGAAAATCCACTAGGCCTGGCTTTTATGTCCCTGTGATTTATCTTATTGCTAATAGTTGTTTTATATGCTAAATTATTCATGTATCACCCATATTCAAAGTGTCCTTTAAAAACTGCAGGCATACCTCTCAGTTATTGCGGGTTAGTTCCAGACCACCGCAATGAAGTGAGCATCACAATGAAGTGAGTGCCACAATAAAGTGAATCATCTTTGCTAGTGGAGGGTCTTGCCTTCAATTTATGAGAAAAGCAACATCCATGAAGTACAATAAAGTGACAGACAATAAAACGAGGTATACCTGGACGACTACTCAGGCATCTCTCATTTTCCTGACCAGGGTATGTGATGTGGGCCTTCCCAGGGTTGGGGGGAGGGGGGAGGTAATTTGCATTTATTTCATGTATATGGGGACTAGAGTCAGGAAAATGGGGGCTCAACTAATAAAGGGAAGGAAGAAAATGGGGAAGATTTTTTACAACCAGTGAGCCCCAGCAGAGGCATAAAGGAATTCTCTGGGCAGCACGGGCCTCTGAATCTTTGCTGTCCTGGCCCACTAATTCTATAGTTTGGATTTTAAATGAATCCCTCAGGCAGGCACCTGATGACTAGTCTTGAGGGTTCAAATCCTCCTTCAAAACCGCAGGAACTAGAATTTTAGCCTCCTGTGCTCTGCTGTGTATTCAACAAAATCGGGAAAACCTAAGTTGGTCTTCTGCTCACAACTACTCAGGGTCCACGTGACTTCTGAATGCTCTGTCAGGATGTTGAATGATGACCCCCATTACTGACAGGGTGGGAAAAGGGGTAGGTGGGAGGTTCCTAGGCTGATTGGTGGAGCACACCAGAAAGCAAAGCGCCACCTACCTGTCAGCCCTGGAAAACAGACAGACAGAAACCAGTGCCAGCCACAGATGGGCACTGCCGCCTCCAGTTAACAAGGCTTGGGTGGGTGACCACTACCCTGAGAAGTGCTAGAAAACACAGTTGTGGTCACTTGAGTAACAGAACTCCAGGTTAATAGAAATAAGCTTATTTGAAACTAGAGGCCCGATGCACGAAATTCGTGTAAGAGTGGCCTTTGCAGTAGGGGTGGCTGCCTCGATCCCTCCCTCACAGCCTCAGCGGCTGCCTCAATCCTGTGGCTGCAGCCCCAGCTTTGTATAGAAGGTCATCTGGAAGGACATCCGGATGGTCGTTCCACTGTTTGGCTGTTCAGTCGATTTGCATATTATGCTTTTATTATTATAGATGGCCACTTATCTAGAGTAATACTGGTTCTAATACTGAGCATCCTTTTTGAAACTGTTAATTTGGCATTCACGAATCATGCATACACTAATTTTTTTGTGATTCTTTGCTGTCCTAGCCCACTTATTCTATAACTAGAGGCCCGGTGCATGAAATTTGTGCAAGGGGCTTGGTCCTCCCAGCCCTGGCTGCCTCGGCCCTCGCAGTCCCAGCTTCGTCCGGAACAGCGTCCAGACAGTCGTCGGGATGGTTGTTCTGCTGTTCGGTCTAATTAGCATATTAGCTCTTTATTATATAGGATAAGAAACAGAAGGAAAGATTTCTTCCCTGCACTCAGTGTTCGCCATCACTTAGATCCTGACTCCTTTTTAGACAAAAATGTCCTTCCCCTGCTTATCAAAAAGGCCATAGTCATTTGATACCCTCCATCCCACCTGCTTCCAATCTCCTGCTTTAAGATCAAGTCACTCCTCTGCTTAAAACCTTCTGGTGTCTTCCATCACCGATAACTTAAATTCCAAGCATCCGCCTGCTTTTCATGTGATCCTCCCCTCTCTTTCCCTCCCCCAGCCACACCAGTCTGCTTTCTGTAGCACAAAATACACCCGCCCTCCCCGCTCTCCTCAGCGGCAGCACCCTCCCGACCAAGGGTGCTCCTCGCAATTCAGCTCAGAAATCACTGCCTCGGCAAGGCCTTCCGGGTTCCCCTCTTCCACCCTGTTTACTTTCCTCCTAGCTTTTATCACTCTCACAAATAGTTTCTGTCTCCCCACAACAAAAATGGAGAAGGATTTTGTCTCCCTAGCTCATTGTGTGCTCTAGTACCTAGAGCAGTGTGTGGTACATAGTGAGTCCTCAAAAACCATGCGTGGGATGAAATCAATGAAGGATTTGTGTGAGGGGCTCACGTACCTGTCATGAGGAACAGGAGGCCGGCCACGTGCTGGGTCAGGCTCTCCTCCCAGAAGAAACTGACCGTGGCCACGATGCAGCCGCAGAGCAGGACGGCCACGGCCATGCCCAGGAAGCCGGCCGTGATTCTTCTCAAATCTAATCTCGAAACACAAACAGACATCCAACATAATAAGCAGAAGGAGAGTCCTTGAAAATTAGAGAAAGAAGAGCTTTGTATATGTTATGAAAATTAATAAGTTGCACAGACAGGCTTAGGGCCTACTTCCCATTTCATAAGAGGACAGATGGGGTGTAGCACCATCTGCAAGTCTGTGGAGAAGTCCATACCAAGTAGAGAACGGGCCAGAGGACAGCGCCAGCGTCAACTTGGATAACAGATAGCAAGTCACTTAGTACACTGAGAGCAAGGCAGGTGTGCAAAATATCTTCATTATCTTTACAAGCGCGACAGGAATGCAGGTTACCACCATGGCCATGGCTGTGATTAATCTGACTTTGGAGAAAGAGCCTAAAAAGCGAGTTACAGTGAAATACGGTTTCACCCGAGCACCACGGATGCCAGCTATTTTCTTTTTCATTTATATCGATTCCTGCCTGTTTTCAAAAAGGACTGGAGAAAGGGAAGGCCATTGTGGTGACTGAAATAGGGCCCAAAGTGCACATAGGAGACATCTGCTCATAGCCACCCTCCCCCCTTAAACACAGGCCCTGCAACCCAAGCACCCACTGCCCCAGGTTAAGGAGGAACTATTCCCACTGTATCCACAACTGTCAGGTTTGGTCTCTCACAAAAACACAATTGTGATCACTGGGCCAGGAACACAGCCCCTCCCCCACCTTCTGGGCAAAACCAAGGGACGGACTGTCTACATGTACCTGGATCCCTTTCCACTCTGGTTGCTACCCTAAAGCAGCACTCGGATTGTCCTGCTAGCTTTGCTTCTTTCTGTTTTCTTCCTTCCTTCCCTCTGCTTTTTTTTTTTTTAAACAAAGCCAATTTTTAAAATTGTTAGCTTCTTAAAACAATAGGTCCCAAAGATAGGTCTGCAGCCCTTGGGGGCAGGCAACAGGTCTGTGCACACCTGTGCACACATGGAGCCCGGATGAGGGGCACACCCCACTGTTAGATGCCTTGGTTTTTGCTTTCCCAGGTTATCTATCACCAGGCAGCATAAATCAACAGTTTTCAAGTAAACATCAGCTCTCTGAAGCATCACACTGCATGATCCTTTCTAGAGTTCCACATTTCCCTAACAGTGAAAAGGGCAGCATCTGCCATTTAAATGTAGAGGTAACAGACACCCTCTGCAAGATGATGACATACGCTCATAAAAATGGTGCAGCACAAACACCAAGGTCTAAGATAGACACAGTAGCTACAATGCACAGCGTATAAGCAAAACAAAAATAGGACCTGAGGTGTAACCTCCTTGGTTTACCAAGACAAGTGGCCTTCTACCTGCAGGTCCTTATACCTGACGACTCAGGAAAGAAAGGACTCAGGAAGCCACCCGGGCACCAAGCATGCCGCACTGTCTTACGAAGCCTTATGCCTGGTTTTCACACATTGGATGTGTCAACGAGTTGTGACCACGGCACAGTGAAATGACTCCCTGAGTCTCTGACTAAGTCGAGTTGGGCCCCGAGGCCCATGTAGGATCCACACAGCATCTTTCAGTCCAAACCTACGAATACTTGTTGTTCAGAAAGACACCATTTTCTCGCTGGCCCTTTCCCAGAAATACTCACGAAGCAGATGCCATTCATCTTGCTGTATTGTCTTCGTTAAATTGAAAGGAATGTTTCGTAAGCGGATTGGCTGAGAAAAGTGGTACTTGATCGCCGTGCACCGCTGCGCAATACCTTGAGGCAAACAAGAGATGTGATTTACTAGTTGCATCTATAATAGAGTTCTGGAGGCCCGAGGCCGAATAACGTCTTCAAACTGAGTGGGATGGGGGAGGGCATAGGAATGTCTTGATTATTTTCACTAATAGAGGCCAGTCAGAGCAGTAAAAACCTAAAACATGAAATAATTTTTTAAAATCGTGTTTCTTTTTATTTTTTTTTTTACAGTGTGCTACCTTTAAAAAAAATCCACGTTTCACTTTTGAATGTATTCAATTGGATAAAGATCTAAACTCCGTTTATTGCATTTCAACACTGAGTTTGTGTTGACTAAATGCAAAACTCCTCCAGGGGAAATGGCCTAAAAGTATACAGATGGTTGGGAGCAATCAGCTTGAAATAGTAAGTTAACACAGATAAACTGCATAGGTCTGAATCTGGTCCAACCTCTGACTCTCAAATGGGTTGCATCGAAGAGTTCATTAGGAAGTGTGTTTTTTGGAAACCAGAAGACATTTTTCCATAAAGACAACCTTCTGTGAGGCAGTTGAGGTGGTGATTAGGTCTCCAGGCAACCACAAGTGCCTATTTAACCCCAGGCCACCTGATGTAATTCCTACACATGAATTTCACTGACCTGAGCTCTGGGTCCTGGGAGAAAGGGTGATATTGAAAAATTCCCTGCCTGAGGCACAATATTTTGAAATGGGCAAGCGTACCCATTACTTTATCTAGTACCTTCTACTATCCTCCCTTCCAACCCATACTTTTACTGCATAAAATAATATGGGCCTATTTTCCCCCCTGAAGTCTTATGAATCCTATAAAAGTATCTACCCTCCCTTCAAATTAAAACATAACAGGACTTCCTTCTTCCATTGTAAATCATCTAGATCAGTCGTTGGGATAAATGCAATCCAATTAGATTAACCTTAAAAGAGATGTGAATGAATGTTCATCCTTTAATCCTGGCAGCTGTTGTTGTTTTTTTTAAATCCTTATAAATGCAAAATAATCAGTGGAATTTCAGTAAGTATAATACTTAATGCTGGCGATGGGGTGTGGACTGGGGAGAAATTGTTCTAGACTCAGCGGGGCTGGTTCTGGAACAACTCCTGTGCTAGGGAAGGAAATGAGTGGGTCCCTTTTACACCATTGCAAATATCCTCAGGGCCCATCTTCTCCTCTGACGCTTGCTGGGAACAGGCACGATCCCAGTGGGCAGGGAGAGTAGCAGAAACGAAGGGAGCAGCCTGCCCAGCCCGCCTCCCCCTCTCCCCCAGGGGAGTCCAGCCGGTGCCAGGAATGAGGTAAGCAGCGCACATATCACCACGTTACCATTCCCGTTCCTTCCCCACCAGGCCCCCAGGCTAAATTTAAACTGCCAGGATCCCCTGAAGTGAGAAGAGAAAGGAGGTGGGGAGAGTGGCAAGGTCTGCCCTGGACAGAAGTAACAAGCAGGCCTCCAAGACCCCGAAGACTGGGAGTCTGGTGGTGAGCCCACGGCTCCTCAGCAGAGTTTGCAAGAAAATGTTCTACAGCCCCGATGCTCCCCTCCCTTGGAGACGATTAGAGACTTCGGGCAGAATTAGAAGAGAAAGTGGGAGTGAAGGACAGATCAGCAGCGTCAGAGGCCTGCCATTCGCTGTTCTAGTTCCTTGTTCTGAAAAGCTTGTTCCACTGTCATAGCCGAAAGTCTAACAGATTACAAGAGGAAAGCGTATGATTAAGGTCTGGCCTCCTCCAGCACACAGGCACAACTGACGCATGAAGCTTGACACCAATCACACAGGAAAAGACCTGTAGTTTCTTGATGCCTTACCAAAGACAAATTAGGTCCTTTTGATAAAAAGACGAGCGTACACGTGTACATGGATGGTGGTAAAGACAGAAGTTCCATGTGATGTTACGGTCAAGAGCGATACTGTGAAAATCCACAAGGAGGCATTAGATTCAAATTTTTTCAAAGCCATGCGTGCAGTTGGAATTAACTGGCTTGCCGGGTGTAGAGAGCAATGAATCTGGCTCTCTGAAAAGGAACACAAAAAGCATGATCTCATAGCACCAGATGGCATCACACAATGGGGGGAAGCAACATGCGGAGGGTGGAAAAGAACGAGTTGTGGTCTATATTTAGTGATTAATGAGCTTCTTAAAGGGCCAAAGAGAGCCACTTTAATGACGATATTAACCATAGAATCAGATCTATTAATAGGCTGCACAGGGGTTAGGAACGAGGTTTATGGGCTGGAGAATTTCTGTTGTTTCTGGTGCTTAGAGATATGAATCCAATTCCAAGCTTAGTCATAGGAACCCATATTCTAGGTTAAGTGAGGGAGCAATGTGAGAAACGGGACATGCCGTAAAATGTCGTTGGTGCCCATCAAGAAGGAGGCGGTATGTGTGCTAGCGAAAGGCCTTGCAGTCAGACACACTTGGGTTTGAGTCCCACCCGTGTGGCTTTGGGCACATTTAACCTCTCGGAGCCTCAGTCCCCTCATCTGTAAAAGAGCGGGAATAATGGCAGACACTTTACAGGGTTATTGTGAGGAATGAAAGAGGTGATGCAAGGACTTAGTATATAGGGTATGGTCCACCGTCAAATAAGTGTCAGCTTTCAATCAGGAGTTAGCTCTTGGGACCTGCCCATGTTCACTGTACAGAACCATTGCCACACACTAGGCGTCTGTGCCTGAAATGGGCATCACAGATGAACCCAAGCAGACACATGCAATCACCGCCTGAACAATGGCCCAACCAATGCCTCCCTCTCCTGTTTCCTCTCCATCCTCATTCCTGGAAGTTGGCTAACTGGCCTCCTTGCCACTGTTCTCCCCACCCTCTGACCACCCTGCAGTGCCTCTGCTTCATAAACCTACTGTGTGCAGACTCGGGGCCCCTGGAGCCTCCGTCACTCGTCTGCTATGTGCAGCGGGAGCACCGTTAGGCTCTACAATATCCACCCGCCTTGTCCAGTATCATTAACTTCCCATGTTTCTTTAAATTGGCTACTACAAGTGGGAAATAGTTTTCTCGCCATAATGTGATTATGTATTTATTTAAAAATAAAGCGTCACCGAGTAAGTGCTACATAATGGTTCATTGAATAGTTTAATGTCCTGCCAATGTGCCAGTTCCCACACTAAGGCAAAGAGAAGGTGGGGACTTCTCTGCTGGCCCCTGGGAGCAGTAAGCCTGGGTTTGCATCGTCCAGCTCTGCCTCACCCCTGTTCAAGAACACACCATTGGCTTCCCCCTGAATCAAACCCAGGCTCCAGGTACCTAGCATCTGTTCCTGCCCTGCGCCCCCTTCCCTTACACTTACTTGTGACTGATCCCCAGGGGCTACCCCACACCTCCCAGACCCCTGCCCTGGCCAGGTGGTGCCCATTTCTTCCTCTACCTACACCCACACCTTAGAACAATCCAAAACCCACTGTCCCTCCAGGCCCACTGTCTACATTCAAAAAGCCTTCCCCAAACACAGCAGCCCATGCAGCTTCTCCCTTCTCTGGCTTGATTTGCTGTTAGAGGCTGAGCCACACCTTCTGGCTTGGGCACTCAGGCTTGGTCACTTCCTCATAGATCAGAAAGTCGGCCTCCCTTTGGAGTTCCCAGATTCCTTAAGAGTTGAGACCGTGACCTTTTCCTGGGTCCGTGACAGTTCAGAGACATGTCAACAACAGTTGCTGACAACAGCAGGGTAACCGAGGCTCCGGGTTCTCCGGCAGACGGAAGGGTCAGTGAACAGTTTCCTAAACATTTCAAAGGCCACTAGGAACTCCAGAACTGACCCGTGGGCAGAAGAGTAAAGAACGCTTTTCCCACCAGCTCTGTCTGCAAACCCCCCAGTTTAAAAGGAAAGATCAATCGTGGGGGTCACAGGGCAAAGTAGCTGCCATGCTCTGGTCAGAAAGATTTGATTTTAGAGGAATCCAGTGCTAAGCAGGCAAAAGAAAATGTTTTCCTCATCATCTCCTTTCATGGGTATGAACAGCCCACACTTAAAATAAAGAAACCAAATGCAGTCAGTGTACTTGGCTTAGTGCTGTCTTTTAGGCCTCAAATGACTGAAATGAGTCCTGAAGGTGAAGACCCCTAAGGGCAAACCCACCATCAAGTTTCCAGAAATGAAAGGGGAGAGGTACAAAATGAGGTAACTCTAAAATGGCGCTGTCCAGTAGAAATACAGTGCAAGTCACATTTAGATATTCTAAATGTCACACTAAAAAAAGCCAAGTGAGATTAAGTTTCATATATTTTCATTAACATGCAATCAATATTTTGAAAATTGTTGAGATATTCTATATCCCTTTTTCATACGAGGTCTTCGAAATTGAGGGTGTGTTTTCCACTTATAGTGCATCTCTTGGACAAGTCACATTTCAGGTGCTCAGTAGTCTCGTCATGTGGCTGGTGGCTATTGTACGAAAGGAGAGATTTCCAGGAGAAGGTGTTCAAGTAAAAGCAATGAAAAGCAAGAATGTTTGGTATAAGAAGTACCTGAAAGATGTGAAAGTTATTCTTTATTTAGATTCTCCACAATATATTATCTTGTTCAAGAATTGTCAATAATTGTCTCGTATTACTAATGCAGAACCAGCTTCTTAGTAATGTGGAGCTTTAGTATCTACATTCACTCTCTCTTCTCTGGATGACTACTGGTTTCCCTGATTTAAGTTTTACACTTTTTCTTTAATGTACTTTTTTTAGTATCTACACTGAAACATAATAAAAGATTTAAAACCAGAGATTCTCCGCTTCTCAGAACCATCACGGCACATACAGTCGGTGGCGTAGCTGATGGGATGGGTATTCTTCACTGGAGAGGATGTGATTTTATGTGGCCTATCGGGGATTTCAGCCCTGCAGATTGCTCTCTGCTTCTTCCTCCCTCCCCATTATTTTTTTCTCCTTCCTTTTACCTTCCCTCTCTAGCTGGAGATGGGAGAACCACAGTGTGGAGACAATTCTTATTCTTTTTCTCCATCTCAAAGTTGCCAATGTGGGGAAGGGGATATAATTATGGCATTGGATTATGTCATTCCTGCTGTGGGAGGCAGACACAGGCAGGAACAGACAGACACCCCATCCCATACCTTGTTCCCTCAGCCCCAACCCATGTGAAATCGAATACAGTCATCACTCAATGGATGCTCAACCACAACACATTGTGGTATTTCCCTCCCATAGGGGATACCAAGTTACAGGGACAGACCCACAGTGGCTGTTGGTTACTCTAGGTCTGGTCACAACATGCTGACCTCAGAGAGATCGATACAGTCTGAACAAAAGCTGTCTTAATCGTACACGGGTCTAAAGCTGCTGTTAATACACACCTGATGTTCAAATCTCCTGGATTCAGGGAGGCATCTGGTCAGCGTGGGAAACAAATCTAAGCTGTCCTCTCTCTCCAGCATGACTTTTTCAATGAATGTGACCATCAGTGAATATAGGCTGTTTTCTGAATAAAAAAATTAAGCCTGTATACCCTCAAACACTAGAAGAAACTTGGCAATATGGTTTTTTTCTCCTGCATGTAATATGTGTGTATAAGAAGCAGCAGGCAAAGGTATAAACTAGAATATTGGCTTTGAAACACTTAGAGCACTAAACTCAACCACTCTGAGCCTGCATTTCCACATTTGTAAAATAAGGGTAATACAAGCTCACAGAATTGTCATGAGGATCGAATGTACAGTTGACCTTTGGATAATGTTGTGGGGGGAAAAAGGGGGGAGGTTAGGGCTCTGATCCCCTCCCATTGGAAAATCCTCTTTTAACTGTTGACTCTCCATGGGCCTTTAAAATCCCTGAGTCAAACAACCTCAGACCCCAGGGAAAACAGTATTTTCCACCTGCAGTTGGGAACCCATGTTTGAGAATGTGAAAATACTGTTTTTGATCTAAGGCTGGTTGAATTTGCAGATGGGAAACCCATGGGTCGCAGGGCCAAATGTACATATGTGGGGGGGACCCACATATAAGTGTACCCGAGCAGTTCAAATCTGAGTTGTTCACGGGTCAACTGTACTTGTAATTTCATCCTCATCTCCAGCATTTGGGAGGAAGTAAGTTGCCAGGTCTCAACCACTACTTTTTGCCATCAAAAGTCAATCATTTATTCTCTTTCACGCATTCATTTATTCATTTGTTCAACAAACATTTATTTAGCAAGTGACTTTTAGACAGAGGACATACTTTCCGCATCTAGAATATGTCACCACAAAAAACAAACAAACTGTAACTCTGAAATAGGAAGAAGGGAGGGAGAGAGATGGAGAGGGGTGTCCCACCTGCGCCTTGATGACCTATAAACACTGATGGAGTTAGCAATTTCCCAAACACTCAAAAAAGAGCAACTTAGTGGAGAAAGGCTGCCCCTTTCAGAATGGGCTGGTGGTGTTCCGGGCCAATTATCCTTAAAAACAATGCACTGTTAGCCCCTTCCAGGTGTCTTGATAGAATCCTTCTAATTGAGCTGCACTTTCAGAAGTTTGTTTCCTTTATGAGAATGAGCCCGGGATCAAGTTGAATTGACTAATTACTCCTTATAGAGAAGATTGGGAAAGCAATGTTTGGTAGAGCTAATGCATGAAAATAGAGGCAAGGGCAATGGCTCTGCTCAGACTGGGAAAAAAACGTAAACACATTTGCTCCTGTGAACAATGTTCTCATGTCCCCTTCACCAGATGGGCTGCTGGATTTATGAGGGGACGTGTCACAGATACATATCAAGATAAATGGAAACTGGGAGCCCCTTTAAGACAGCCTGCAGGATCTAAGGAGAGAGCCTGTGCGGTAGTTGGCTCCATAATTGATAGAGTCGTACCCCTGGGCTTTGACAGGTTATGGAAATCCATTTAAAAAATATAAACGGATTTTAGACAATATTCTCTACTTTTTCTAAGTCATGATAAAGGCTGAGCCATCATCAAGCAAAACTGACAAGTCCGAATTTCATTTTCTTTAGCTTCTTCAGCTTACTCTCTCATGATTAGGTGGTCTGACAGGTTCCAGAGACAAGAAGTAAAACTGCCAAATTGGATGGCTGACCAAGAATTCACTCCAACATGAGCAGAGGACGGCACTCACCACCTTCCCGTGGCAAGAACCTTATGGCAGGAAGAAGCCAGATCCCAAAGCCATTTGTAGCAGCTGCAAAAGATTCCGGGGCAGGGCCCTCTGTCTTTGGCAGCCTTTATCACTATTTCCCATGTGCTCTGCTTCCTCCAACAGATCCCGGGCATCGCTAAATCATGACAGAAGTCTGCAGCAGATAAGCACACTTTGGAGGCCACCAGAATTGCGTTAGTGTAGTTCTAGGAAAAGATAATCACACTCTTATTTATTACATAGCCTCGTGGGCTGTAGTCAAAGTGCCTTCTCACACATTCTGTAAGTTACAAACGGCAGACATTCTTCCCTTTTTACATAGAAGGAAAACAAGGCACCGACCACTTGAGTGATCTAAATCAGCGGGCGCCGCCCTAACCGGTTTGGCTCAGTGGATAGAGTGTTGACCTGCGGACTGAAGGGTTCCAGGTTCGATTCCGGTCAAGGGCATGTACCTTGGTTGCGGGCACATCCCCATTAGGGAGTGTGCAGGAGGCAGCTGATCGATGTTTCTAACTCTCTATCCTTCTCCCTTCTTCTCT